ATATGATGAGCGAATGGAAACAGAGAGAGAAAGAGAGAGGGAGGGTTTGACGTCTCGAAAAGAAGATCAAAGAGATGGATCGCGGTAGCTCGCTTATTCTCTGACAGCTCGATTCGAAGGAACAGGAGAGCGACATACGCGAGGTCTCTCGAGTAAACCGAGCGAAAAGTTAACCGCTAACTCGCGACAAACTAGCGTCCAAATAGCTTTCCACCAAGAAATGCGCTCCATGCGCTTCTAACGGCATTCGATATCGATCATTCCTATATGTATATATATATATATTGGGTTGTTCGGAATGTTTTTTTTCATGACCGAGTCATTTCACGCGATCACGAACAATCGAATTCGATCTCGTAGCAATTTCTTCGAGTTATTATTCGCTTTGCTTCGATCGGTGCCTTTATTTTGTCTTCATCGGCTTCGATCGATCTTTCCAGAACGTGACGCGTCTTTAACGTAGGAAACCACAGTTTAGACACTATAAAATATGCCGAAAATACTTCTTCTCGTCTCGCATCTTCGTTATCGCGCACGAAACACACAATCACACTGAATCAAACGAATTTTTCTTATAAATAAACCGTGAAATGTCAACTCACAAAATATATAACAGCACGGTTTAGAACGAAGTTGGCTATGGATGAACGTTCGACACGAGCGACGCTCGTGTGAAAAAACGAATTACTTTCCGAACATATATATATCGACGCAACACGATATCTCCTCACTTCGGAACTCACCACGCACCACGATCGCCTTCCCACGTTAATTATCCACCAGGCTCGCGAGAGACGAGACGATCGAGCGATCGTCGTCCAAGGATTACTTGTTTATTCAATCACGGGACAACCACGGCTGTGGCGATCGATCCACAAGGCGGGCTTTAAACCGGCGACGGGAAAATACGAAGCAACGAGAAGAAGTGGTCGAGAAGAAGAATCGTAAATACGAGAGCGAATCGACTCGGGACAAAAAAGACGTACTCCTTGAAGGATACTCGACGAGTGTCGGAGTATTCGCAAAGGGAGCGAAGTAGTCTCGACGAAGAAGAGTCTTTTTCCCTGCAAACTCGAGGAAGAATCCTCCCCATTCTCCGTCTCCTTCGATTCCTCCAACCTCCCCGAGTTAAACGAGGAACGATCGCTATTCTTCTAACGCGGTTCGCGTTATTCTTTCGTCTTTTCCTCGGATCGGATCGAGGAACGACTCGAACGCCGAGAAATCGCGCGTATCGCTCGATTTAACGATTTACAAAAGTTGGTCTCGCCCCGGTGTTTGTCCACCATGTTTACCACCGATTGAACGGAGCGAAGCGAAGAACAGGATTTCAATTAAATCGGGAATAAAACAAAAAACAAGAGAGAGAGATAAAGAACGATCGAAACAACAGTCGCTCTCGATCGATGAAAACTCTTCCCGCCCAATTTCGAGGACAATGGCTCGGACAAACCGGGGGCGGGGGGGGGGGGAAAGGTAGTGGTTCTCGCCGAAAAATTCACTACACTCGTTCGACATACGACACTTCGACCGATTAATTTCGCTCTTTTGTTTCCAACGAGCAGCCATCTCGCGTTGTCGCCAATTGTCTCGATTCGATCTTCCCGCGCCGCGGATCGATCTGTCGGCACAGGCGATCGACCATTTCGGAATCCATGCGGAACGATGAATGCACAGCTGCCTATCATCTATCTATCGATCGATCTCTCGGAGGGAGGTGATGAAAAGAACAATGCCAGGCACCGTTGGTTATTTCAATTTTATTATAAAATATAATAATGCGATGTAACATTTACTCCACCATATCGAATATTCATTTCGTTACTGTACCGTATAATATGTATAATATGTACAACGAGTAAACTTGCTCTCTATGCGAGTGGTGTTTCTTCGGATGGATCGGAATTCACCTCCCCTCCCCTCCCCTAGGAAAAGAGTGACGGCGATCCGACCGTGCGCGCGTATGCGTGTGCATGTGCGTGCGTGTGTATGTATGTGTTGTGTACGATTTCCATCTACACCGCCGACTCTTCGAAACGTCCAGTTTCCGCGCGATTGATTCTCGAGCGAGCGATTCGAACAGAAGAGGAGGGAAGGAGGGAGGAAAGAAAAACAGAAAAATATAATACTAAATTTTACGCGTCGATGACGAGTTCGTTTCTGCTACGACTCCATAACGCATTATCGTTATTCGCGCGTTCCTTTTTTTCTTTTTTTTTTTTTTTTTTTCTTTTCTTTTCTTTTCCCAATCTAACGAATTCTCCAGCAGTCTTCGATCGGACGAATAACAAGAGAGAACAAAGAGAGAGAGAGGGAGAGAGAGACGCGCTACTCCTTTATTTTTCTCCGTCGTGTTCCCGTCGTGTCGTCGTACGGCCGGCAATTTACATGCAAATAAGGGGGGGAGGAGAGTTACCGGTTACAAAACCGTCGCGATTCGAATTCTCTCCTCCCCCTCCCGATTACTCTCTCAAAGAGTTTACGAAAACGATCTCGCTGTCGGCTGAAACGAAGGTTGATCCTGATTTTCGAATCCTCCTCTTCCGCTCTTTCACCTTAAAGTTACGTAATCGCTGCCCGCTTTTCTCCATCGATCCACCTCCGACCGTCTAATTGGACATCGTTCCATCTTCGACGGTTCCTCTCTCGTCTCCGACCTATCTACACGCTTTATTCACAACTGTTCCTTTCTGATTTTTTTTTACAATGTAACGTAGATTTACTTTTGTTTACAATTCTTCCTATCTCGCTATACGATTTATGCAACCGAAGGATAATTTCTCGTTCACACTTTTTCATTTTCAATATCATACGTCGCTTAGCACCATTTTCGGCTAAGATGTATAAAAACTATCGACAACGTATCAGCGCTCGAATACCTTCGTAACCTATTAATAACACGTAATAATATAACAAATGTGTCTGTATAACTACCGCATAAATTGGTGAATCATTTTCAAATTTTGTAATCTCGAAATTTCTCCTCCTACGATTCCTTTCAAATGTGTATTTCATCGAAAATTGCAAATATAAGCGTTCGAATACTTTCGTTAACCACTGTACGCGTACATTCCAAATTACGGAACTCGTTTTAATTGTTCGAACGATCGTCGAAGCGGAACGAGAAAAATATCGAACGAGAATTCTTTTCGAGAACAATCCCTCCCCCCCTCTCTCTCTCTCTCATAAAGTTAGGAAGTAAGGGCGGAAGGTTAAAGCGCGCGTCTCGAATTTGATCGTCGAGGCCGTTAACAAAGGGGAATTTGATCCGGTGCGGCGAGGAGAACTATTTGGGGATTGCGTTGCATCTCGCCACGCCTCGATCTCGAGAGAAAAAAACAGTGCAGGGAAAATAATCCTTGCTCGAGAGGATGGAATTCTTCTGGCAACAGGTCGAAACGGGGAGGAAGGAAGAATAGGGGGGTGGGCGAACGAGTTTTCCAACTTTTGTTTCATCCCGACTTTCGTCGATAACTATCCCCGCCCCGGGGTTGTCCGGGGGATGGCTAGTAGTTTTCGTCCATCGATGGGAAAGGAAACCAAAGTCGCGCTCGTTCCTCCCTTAATGGAACTCCATCCGTGGCGGTGGCTTTACACCGACCACCCCCGTGCTCGAAATCGATCCTCCCCCTCCTTGTTTCCAGGGGAGGGGGGAGGGGAGGGGGATCGATCAGATTTAAAAAAGAACGAAAAATTCTCTCGCCGATATTTCGAAGAGTGCTTTACCGATTACTGGAGAGAAGGAAGGAAGGAAGGAAGGAAGGAAGGAAGGAAGGAAGGAAGGGCGTAATAATTTTGTTGGGGAGGTGACGAACAATGCGAGATTGATTCAACCGCGCGAGTTTTCGCGTTTTTAAATTCAACTTGGTCGCGCTTCCTTCCTCGATTACCATTTAAATTACCATTCGTTTAAGCCGCTTCTCGCAACGAGAAACGATCCTCTCGATCTCGGTTTAATAACAACTTGGAAAGAAAGGAAGGAAGGAAGGAAGGAAGGAAGGAATATTTTCTTCTCGAATCGACGGTACGCGTTCCGCGGACGAAAATTGAGCGCGCCGTGTGGTTGGAACGCACAAAGCGAAACGATGGAAGGGGCTTTCAGCCGTTTCACCGGCGTTTTTCAAAGGGTTCCCCCCCCCCTCATTGTTTCTTCCAAGAAATCCCGATCGATCGAGTTTCGCGCCTTCCTCTTCCTCCTCGATCGTTCGATTTAATCCGGACAATCTGCATTTTTCGCGAGAAAATCCCTTTTCCCTCTCACTTTTTCGCTTTTCGTGTGCAAATTAGGAAGAGGAGGAGGAGAAGAGTCGCTTTGAATGAAATCTTTGAAATTCTTTATACGCATACGCGCTTTTCCAACCGAACGAGAGAAAGTTTTTAGCGTCTTTCGAACAAAGAGAAGGGAATCAAAGAGAAGTGGCGAAATGCCTCCAGTTTCTAGAGTCGCAAAGATCACAAGGAGAGAAGTTTGCGGCTTGGGTCTAACGAACTCTGTACGTTGTACGTCGTTACCTGTCCGAAACATTCGGTGTTCCAAACGTTTCCCTTTTTGTTCTCTCTCTCTCTCTCTCTCTCTCTCTCTCAAGTGGCAGAAGTTTCGAAAGCGCGTCGAGAGAGAAGCTCTCTCGTTACCATCGCGTAGAAAAAAAAAAGGAGAGGTCGAGGAATCGGAGGGGAGATGAAAATCGTGTGGATCGAACGCTCGCACGCTTTGCGCTACTCGTCCAAATTTCACGTATTTCGCGTCGAAGTTGATCGCGAAAAAACTGATGGGACACGGCGGTGAAACGTGGCAACGCTGCACGCACGAGTGGAGGGAGTAAAGTTTCGGTTCTTAGATAAGGTGAAACGATCGACGGGTGGGAAGCGTGCGTGACGCGTGGCTTGTGCGACGTGTGTGGTTTGTCGCGTGACGTGTGCGCGGTGTGCTCGTACCCGGATGATGCGCTTGTGGAGGTGATTCTCGATGCTTCTCCTCCTTCTCCTTCTGTCGCCGCTGCTTCTCTCGTTCCTCCTTCTCCCCGCCCTCCTCACGGCTCAACAGACCGTGACGAAGGAGAGGGTGGTCGTCTTCGGCGAGGCATAGGCGTGAATCGATTGAGAGTATCTCGATTGTCAAATGCGCAGAGGATCGGTGTGCGGGTTGGACGGCTTGTGTCGAGCGGCGCACAAGCTCAGCCCGAAGCACAGCATCAACAGCGCCACCGAGCCTACCAGCAGATAGCTCGACCATGAAACGGAACACTTTCCTGCAACAGATGCATCGTATTCTCTCCGTTTTTCTCAAATTTTTTGTAATTTTCCTTTCCCTTTTTTCTCTTTCCTTTCTCTCCTTGGAAGTTTCTTTCGAATTGCGAGAGAAAATTCGAAAGCGTTGGTGATGGTAGTAATCGCGCGTTCGTAAAGGAACTAATTCTTCCTTCTCCGTACCTCGTCGGTAAGGAAGTGTTATATAGAGTGCGTAACGAAGCACACGAACGATTTTGCAAAGTCGAGAACGCACAATTTCTCGTGGCGAGAAATTAGGAGGGGAGAAAGAAATACTCACCGAGATTGTACACGTTAGCACCCTTCCCGCAAGACTCCCGCACCTCCCTGTTGTCCCATCCTATGGGATACATGACCAGACCGCCGCATATCATCGCTGCTGTAACGAGAAAATGGGAATAAAATGGTTGACGAATTGGATTGAAATTTATTCTCCTCTCCGATTTTTTTTTTTTTTTTTTTTTCGTACGCGAATATCGGCGCAAGATCGAGGACGACGAGGGAAAAACGGGTATTGGAATGGCGCGCGAGAGAGAAAATGAAACGCGTCAACGTTTCGAGGAAGAACGATATTCGAGTAATATCCGTTTGTCCGACTGTTTGCACGAGACGTCGCCGTCTTACTTCCCCCCTTCTCCTTCAAACGGCAGACGGTTTTCTCTATTAACGTTCTTCTCTTCCTCTCCGTTTATCCATGGGGTTCGCGATCGTTTCCCCTCGAAACTTTGAAAACGCAACGATAAAATATTATCGCATCTCTCTCTCTCTCTCTCTCTCTCTCTTCTTCGAGATCAGCCGAGGATTCTCCGTTTAAACGTATCTCACCGTATATTATCGAGACGTCGTTTTTAAAACCTTATATATACCTTATATATCTACGTATTATTACGAGATCCATTACGAGGGCGTTGCCACGCGTTCGAAGTCTCTCTTTTCCGGAGAGAGAGTTGAAGACGATCTTCTCTCTAGATCTACCGTTAAAAGTTCGTCGATCCTCTTTCTTACCTCGGTTATTGCTCTTCGTTTCTTTCTCCAGCGCGATGAGGTATTCGGTTACAAAAAAAAAAAGACGAAAACTCGTCCGAAGACAGAGAGAGAATTTTATCCATCCTCGGTTGTTGCTAAACCGTAACCGATATTCGTCCACCGTTCGAAAGTGACGAGAGGAGGGAAAAGGGGGGGGATTTAGATTAAATCGTTGAACTTACCGGCGAGCAACTGGAGAGAGCCGAGCACCCTGGTGTGTTTCGGTGTTTTGAGGATGTGCGGGAGGAAGGTGGAGGCGGCCGCGAGCAGGGTGAGGGCGCCGATCACCGCGATCGCGACCCCGATCCCCATGGTGACCGTGCTCGCCTGCCACCAACCGCTCGGAATGTCCCAGAAGCTAAAATCAAATATCGCCTCTATTGTAGCGCACCACCGCATTCTCGTTAAACTGTATTGTTGACAAAATTCCGAGAAAATTGAATTTCACCGTTGTAAATTAACGGGCCCGGGCACCGCCGGGCGTAACTTTGATTTAAAGCTAAAACTGAACCCGCTTCCCTCCCCTCGTTCGTTCGCCCCCCCCTCCCCCCTCCCCCGCTTAATTGGGAATCGTCGGGTTTTCACGCGAATCTTCGCTTCAATACGTAAGGTAGTAATAATAATAATAATAATAATAATAATAATAATAATAATAATAATAATAATAATAATAATAATAATAATTTTACACAACAGATTTTTCGATCGATTCAGATTATTATTAAACGTAACCGATTTTTCGTTGATTTTTCGGAGGAAAAATCTCCGCGACGTGTTGCATATATCCGTAAGTGTTTTCCGTCCTCCCTCTCCCCTCGTGCCACGGATACACGTACGATTGCATTAAGGTCGTCCCGTTCCCGTCGTTGCATGCCGTGGCTGAACGTGGTGTTCCGGTTGAATTGAAACTGAGGAGGGGGAGGGGGAAAGGGAGGGAGGGGAAGGGGGGGCTGAAACGCGAAGCTTTTCCGATAAAATGTAAACACCGCGTGAAAAAACGCGTCAGAACGCGAAACCGGACCAACTTTTTCTCCTCCTCCCCCTCCCCCTCCCCTCCCGCTACATTTAATTAACGAGTTTGGATTCGAAATTTCAACCTCGGACACGGGTATCTCGCTCGAATCGCATATCTCTCTCCCTCTCTCTCCCTTTCATCCATCTCGGTGTACATAGTTTGGAAAAAACTAGCGCGATTCGCCATTTGATGCCATTCAATCTCGGATAACGGATAAACGGGAAGTAATCCGTTGCTGAAATGGCGGCGATCTGTAATTAGCTTTTTATGCTATCTTTTTTCTTTTTTTTTTTTTTCTTACGTCGATTGATGCAATTGTGAGAGAGAGAAAAAAAGAAAAAACAACGAAAGGATCGAACGTTGGAAAAAAAAATTTGTATCGACGGCGGCGTAACGATACTGGCGGCGATCTATTGGTCGGATAAATTTTTCCCGGAAATAGGCAGCGTTACGTGTACACCGGGGGAATTATGCTTTTTAATCGCAGCGTTCCACGATCGATTCAAAGGGTAGCGTAGGGCAGCAAATTGCGCAACGAGTGAGAAATCGTTTGGCCGAGCGAATTTTTTTTATTACGAAAAACGGGATCGATTAACAGAGGAACGCTTTGAAAGAGGAAGTTTTGGGCCACGGGCTCCTCGGGAAGCGAACAACCGACAACAACGAATTGTTCTTAAAAATTTGCGAGATCTCGCCTCTCGGGTGGAAAATTTGAATACGTACCTGGAATATCTGGCGCACTCGTAAACTATTTCGGGAGCGGTGTTCGCCGCCCTTATCCGTGGATAGTTGCACCGTCGAAAGGAACCAAAATACGCGTCCGCCTTTCCCAGTAGTCGTCCCTGAAATCAGGAAAGCACGCGCGTACTCGACCAACTAACTCGACAACCTCCGAAAGTCTCGAATAGTCTTTCGAGAGAGAGAGAGAGAATCGAGATATTTTTCGAAAAACGGTTTCCATACGCGCGTTGAACGGACGTTTCTTTATACACTGAGCTAGAGAGGGGAGAGGCAGGACAGTGTTTCTGTATCTGTGGAACCCTTGACTCGGAAGCAAAACCGTTGACCCGGTGCCAAGTAGTGTTTCTTCTTGGGAGCGAGGGATTAAGTTTTACCGAATGTTTCTTGCGATCGCGGGACCGATCGTAAAACGCTTCACTTCGCCTCGTTTCGTTTCGCCAGTGAAATAAAGCGGGTAAAAGTCGGACAGGATTTCCCGGTGTATTATTCTTGGCCGAGACACCGAGGCAAATTCGATGGGTCTTGCGGCGGTAAGAATCGGGTCTCGAAAGTAAGAAGCGAAATTCTTCCTCCCGTAAATCATCCTCCTGCGTTCCCCGGGAATTTCTTGGGATGTGAAAAAAAAAAGAGGGAGGAAGGGAGAGAGAAAGAGGAGAAAAAATCCTTAATTAATCCCCGCGCGAAAGTAGGAAAAGGTGGTCGTAACGATCGCCGCTCGTAGAGATTGTTTTTTCGCCAAGAGAGGAGGAAGAAACGAGAGGAGATTTCTCCTTAAACGAATGGATCCGACTGCTTCTTCTCTCGGACTGAACACGTAGAGGTGCTTCTCCTACGCGAGCGAAGAAGCGAGCGCAGGAAGGCAAATGTAAATTCACTTATGCATTTATTCATCCCGCTACTCGAGTATTTTCAAAGCCATTTAGAGCCCCCTTCTGCGTTTCGTTGCTCCACAAGGGATATATACGTGTGTGTGTATATACATATATATATTTCGAAGGGACACTCGTGCACGGATGCCGCGACGTTCGAAATTATTCATCGACTGTTTTTACGCCCGTTTCCCCTGTCGGTTTAATCACCAGCCTTGCCGCTAATTTAACCAACCGGTTCGTCACGATTCCCTTACTCGTCGTCGTCTTTTTTAGAAGAATCGAGGCTACGGTATGTAAAAAAAAAAAAAAAAAAAAGAAAAGAAAAGAAAGAAAGAAAAGAAAAGAAAAGAAAAAGAAAAGTAAAAGTAAACGTAACGTAA